AAAAAAAAAAAAAAAAGAACAAAAACACTTTTTGGTGTTCAATAAATGCTGTTTTCTTACTCTTTAGTTACTGGCCACTATCTTTCTCTGTCTTTTAAAGTGTTCAATATTATTATAGAAGTGCAAAAATGTTATGAAAATTCATCCTCCCTCCCCCCCTAAAAATGCTAGTCCTAGTCACCTAAAACCTAATGCAAATAAAGACTTTGTATTTTGCAGTGGAGACATACTGGTTTTTGGAAATATACTTACTTGGTTATACTGTTTTCCTGGAGTTCAGAAAACATTAGGATCACACATTTCAACAACAAATACATCAGGCAATTTGAAACCTCATTGAAACAATGCTCTGCACATTCGTTGAACATCCTTAACATCAATAAGCCTGCTCTCAGATGTTATAGAAAACATACAACAACGTTTCCCTACCCTGATCCATGCCCTCCAAATTATCAAAATATTATCCTTTAACATATTTTCCATTATTTTTGAGAAACCCAAATCCAAGACAAAAAAAATGAGACTCTGATTACACTTCCCCATATACTTATTGAAGAAAGCAGAACAGAATGTGTTATGTAGATGTTGGTGATGTTATAAATTAGCTGGACTAAACAGATGCAGGTAATGTAAAATTTGTTCCCAAAAGTACACCTTCACAGATTGAGATTTTTTAATACATGAATAATTAAGCAGTATTTTAAACTAGGATACTAATTTTGATTTGTATTCATAAAAACACCAATTGTATTATTGTAATGAACACAGAGGTACATGAGCTGAGCTTCAGCAGCAATACAGCAGTCCTTAATTTTATTCATACGAGACAGGGTAGGATGGCAATAAAACTAAAAATGTAAATGTGAAAATGCTCATTTTCTGATTTATAGATATATATCAACATTGACATAGTAATACATATTAAAGGGACAATATATAGTAACCTGATTTTTTTTATTTATTCCTGTATTATCATTGTAAAACCTTTACTGCAGTCCTAATGGAAAGGCTTCAGAGCCATTAGTGAGATATGCAAAAATATGTAAAATTACAGCCTGAAGGATATTATACTAGAAATTCAGGCAAAATGGCTTAACATACTCATGCACTAATAAGTCAATCTTCTGAATTCAGTGATTTAAATTTTAACTTTAGAGCCTTCACTTGGATCTGGATTTCAAATCACAGGAGTAGAGCTACAGTCCTTAAATCTTAATCACATGTCCCAGGCCAAGGGAAAATCTGGAAAGTAGGATACAGTGGCACAGCATTTAATTCAAGAAGGGAAACAGAAGAAAATGATAGGCCACAATGCTTTATCACTGTCATATTCCCACCTCTACTGGTTGGAAATGCAATATGTTTTCCAAGCCATCACATATAGATAATGGTGTAAAATCCTTAGAACTAGCAAGGGAAGGGGAAGTGAGATGAAATTAAGTGGTACATTAATATGTTCTCATTGAGCAAGTATATCCTGAAGGTATACCTAGAAATTAGTGCTCTCCCATAAAGATCAATGACTGCAGAAACATGAAATATTTTTAATGAGCTATGGAGATCACGCCTTTTTGGGTTTTCAATAGAGCTAAATCATCATAGATCAGGACATTAAGTACAGGTCCTCTTTCAGCTTAAAGAAGAGTTTGCAGATACATGTGCAGGATATCATGATGCTCATGTAAAGACAGCCTTTTTTCCAAACACTGCATGACTGCCTTTCTCTCAATGACAGCAATTTAACTAATTCAGATTCTATGAAATAGCTTAGCATGCATTTTGAGGCCCCTTTTGACGAACCCAGTTGTAACTTTTCTAGGTATGCAAGGAATAAGAAGCAGTGAACAAAAAGTTGACAGAATAATTAAATGTCTTTACCGAAAAGGAACAATTATTGAACCCTGCAATATGAAGTGGGTACAGAATATATATTTCACCTCCATATGTGTTGTCTTCAGTCTACAAATAAATGTTGCGCTGATCCAAGCAAGTTTATTCTGAAAAGTCTTTTAACCTCTGTGTTCATCAATGAATGCTTTTACATAGTAAAATATCTAGAAGCATTTTATGATAGCATTTACGTTTATGCTATTCCTGATGTACAAACTATATCATTTTTAAGTCAAGTTTTCCCTCTTTATGTAATAGACTTGCTTCCCCCGTACAGTGAACTTATCATGAAAGCGAGGATATAATTGAGTTTTCTTTAAAGCTTTTTAAAATTCATGAATTTTCTTATCATTTTTCAGCAAAGCAAAAGTATTTTCAATCTGTCTTTAACTTTAGTGTTTAATATTAACACATTTTAAATGTTATAGAAATAGAGTGGAATATTTTTTTTTGCTTAAAAAGTATTTGAATTAGTATGAGATTTAACATTACCAACAGGTTGGTTTCACTGTTAAATGTGCTTGGTTACCTGTCACAGAGCTGTCTAGATTGTCCATACTGGATCCTGGTGTATGCTCTAGACCTCTTAGTGGCCTAGTTATTTCTATAGCTTCCTCTTCAATATCATCCTCATCATCATCTGGAACATCTGTTTCTAAATCTGAAATAAAGTTTCCAGATACATATCCCAGTGGTGGAACTGGAGCCTGAGGAGGTTGAGTATTGCTTTGGATATGCCTATAAAACAAACAGAAAAATACTGTTAAGAGGCTTGCAAGATGTTGCTTTATATGTACATAAGGACGTAAATCTTTGGTACATCTTGAAAAAATATTTACAAAGATATTTGGGGTTTTTTTACTAAGCAGTTAACTTCTATATCCAACTTTGCCATTTATCTGCCCTCTGTTACCATGGTACTTCAGCAGTTCACAGCCTTTAACATATTCCTCTTCACAATAACCTCCAAGATATAGGGAAGTGCTATTGTGCTCATTTTATAAGGCATGGACAGACAAAATACTTTCCTTTAAAAGAGGACTGGGAATTTACCATGATTTAGCTGATTCAGCTATAAATGCCTGCTGTTCACTTTCTCCTGTAGTAAGTAGAAGCTAAACCATAAAAGTTTATTCCCCTGCTTTATTTAGAGCAAATCCATTACAATTTAGCTTTACTTATGGTATGACAGTAGGAGATAGATGAAATAGTTACAGCCAATCAGCTGATATAAATTTATTAGTGGTGAGTTTCCCTGCACTCCTTGAAGTGGTATAATTGCTCATTTACTCACACCTCCAAATAAGGAACCAAGACATAGAGAGACGGTTTGTTCCCTAAGGAGTCTGTGGTAAACACGTCTCTTGAACCACAAGTTTGTGCTCTAATCACTGAGCTATCCTTCTTTTCCTGTATAGGACAAAACCCTCTATTTTA